ATGAGCGGATGCGATATTTTTCGCGTGGCCGAATGGCGGAGTTGGCTGATGCGCTATTTGCAATTCCGACGGACGCGGATAGATTTCTCTGTCACGCGTCCTGGCAAAAGTCACTTGCGTTTGTAAGCGCTCGTTCGGAATTTGCGGAGATATTTATATTTCACGCTGCGGACTAACAATATCTTCAATATCCTCCGATGGAGGATGAATGTTTAGACTTCTGCAAATATCAGCTATGTAACCTATGTAAACTAATCTCCGGCTATCCGAATCCGTCGTAATTGCGGCGAACGCATCGGCGCTTTTACGCGTCACGACCTCCTTTTGACCCAGAAAGCACGTGGGAATGATTAGTTTCGGCATCATTTACCCATTTGGCGGGCGAAAAAGAGGCGGAAATTTGAAAATTGGACCTCGTAGAGCTCCAATCTGACTTTCGACCGGTTTCTTTTTTTCGGATCCTGCGCGCGGCCGTATATGCGAATGTGCGCGCCCGGGATAAAATACGCCGGGCTAACTCTCCACGCTTACGTACGTTATCCGCGCGCACGCGTGTTACTAGGATATTTACGATATTTCGAGATTGCGAGGTATCGGGGTTTTTGGGGGGAAAAATATCGGTTAACGTCAGCGGGAAATATCGAGGGACATCAATGATCTTGGAGAAAGTAGCAACATTGATACCTTTGGTGTCGAGCAATATCTCGATACCGGAGATATATGACATTAAAGGGGGTTGTAAAAATGTCTCGGTATGCTATTAAATTCTGACATATATTCTCTGTCTCATACGTGTCCCATGCAATAGATGATTCTACTTGAAGTGCGTATATATATATATATATTTCTTTTCTTTTTTTATTTATTTATTCAACTTGTCAAATCTCAATGCATCGGAATATTTCGCTAATACCCGAGCACTGATACATTTGTTTCGGATGTTCAATAACTCTTTTGTCTCTTACAAAGGAAATATTACTTGACGCTGATAATTTAGTAGCGATATTATGTAAAAAATATTACTGCGTTTAAAGCAAGATATGTCGGTCTGCTTTGGGCAATGAATATTTTATATATTTTTGTAATACGTACTAAATTAAACCGTGTTGATTTAACATATTGTTTTGGATATCTCTCTAAAATCTCAACGTTCGAAAATGTCGAATAATATTTACAATATCTAACATTAAACGTGAAAATATCTCAGAATTTAATGAATGGAAAGATTATTTTTAATTATTTTAAAAATTTGCTTCTCGGCAATAATTTTCTAGTAGCATTAATAAGTAATATTTACTATTATTAGATATCCGAAGACTGAAAAATGCTGAAAAATAGGAAATAGTTTGGAATAGAGAAGAAGACAGTTTGAAAAAGCTGAAATAGAGCAGAAGCGAGATAAAATGACAGCTCGCGTTAATTAAAGATACTGATATTAATATCTCACAAAACGAAATAAATATATCTGAAATTACCGCGACGAATCCCTCGTATTTCTCGCCGCACGTAGGCATTATATATATATATATATAACGTGGCACCGATTCTCCTATTAATTCGTCAACGTTTTTCCCTCACGATGTTACGACGCGTCGATAAGAGACTCGGGGGGCAAAATTGCGGCTCATAATATCAATTGCGTGGGGGGTGCTTTGCGCGCGCAGGATACCGGCGGCATATTAAATTTAAACATCTACGGGTATATTCCGCGCGGCGCGTTACTTCCGTCTTTGCAGACACGAAAGCCGGAAGTGGGTATTGCCGGCCACCCTCGCCGGCTCTCTCCCTCTCTCGCACGCCGCTTACTAAATTAGTACCATCTCCACCCCTTCGGAGCTCTACGATGCGACCTGTTCCTTATCTGTAACTACCATACCGCCGCCACCACCGACCGGTATCCACTATATCATCCGACCGGCGCCCATCCTCCGCGAACCTCGCTCTCCCCTCCCCCGCCCCCTGCCCGCCGCTACCTACATCCCGCTGCCACCACTGCTCGATTCACTCACGCATAGCCGCCGTGTAGCCACGGATTCGGGTCGTCGCCACGCACCCGCGGTTCGCGCGCCGGTTAGGCGGCTCTGCACGGAACATATGCGCTTCGATATTAATTTCCCTATAGTCCCGCCACCGATGTCCCGCGCTGCGTTTCGACGAGTGCTCGGCGGAATTGTGGAAAGTCGCACGCGAATACCTCCTCGTAATTCTCGGTAACGAGCTGCTCCTCGGAGGAATCGGCCGTTGCCCGGGTAGCGAATATCCGCTATGATGAAAAGTTGAATATATCTGTCGTTTTGTGCGCGAAAGCCCCTCGGAATAAAGCGCGAATATTACTCACGGATTAATGGGTAATTGTTCGCTCGGGCGTAAAGTTTCGTCCAAATTCTTTCGCTCGCGCGGGAAGATGTTCCTCGGATTTGCGGATATAAAACGGGGAGAGTGATCTTTCTTCATTGTAACTAAATTGATTAATTAACATTTTAATTATTAGAGCGCGAAACTGGCGGTTAAGTGTGCAGAATTTCGAGAAAAGGAGTAACTTAGTCGAGGGCGAAAGCTACAATGGACCAACATCGGCGGATTTAATACGGCGGAGAATATTGTAAACATGCATTTAAGGTGAATTATAAAAAGCGCAATTTCTACGGCAAAATGCAATTATTAATAAGATGCTCGTGAAAGTTTAAAACCGTCGTTAACTTCCAACGTCGTTTCTGAAACGTAAAGGATAAGGCTCCTTCTTCTTCTCCTCCTCCTCCTGCTCCTCCTCCTCCTCCTCCTCCTCCTCCTCCTCCTCCTCCAAACAATCGAAATACGCTATCGCAAGGGAGCTTACAAGTTGTTTCTAGTGTTGTCGTACAAGTAGTTACTTGCCGGTTCTTAAACAGGACGTACCAAAAACGGACTTCCTCTTCGCTGGAAATTTCTTAAAGGGAAAGTTCCACTCTCATCGGAAATTTGGCCGGCAGCCACTGTCGTTCGCGACTTTTTAATTCTCAGCGGTAAATATCTCGGTGAGTTTACTCGGAATTAAAATTTCGTTAGAGCGAAATTTGCCTGAACCTTCAGTAGGTGCCACGAAGTCTTTCGAAGGCCGTGGCATAAAGCGAAAGCTGCTTTAATTAATAGCGAATTATAATAAA